ACTCCTATACTGTAATGACTTACTTACTTAGCTGGCTTGTGAATAAACAATTGTTCCAAAAGTCGTGCTTAAAAAAGTTCCTATTTGAAAGAAAGATGTTCCGAAATGTTGTCTTCTACGTGAACCTTCAGTTGGCTCTCTTCTATATCCCTTTGCCCTGGGGAATCCTCATCCATTCTCACAACCGAGAATAGATTTTACAATACATGGTTCATTCGACGGCGATATTCACTATCAACCCAGATCGGCGAAGGCCCATTGATTTCCCGGAGAATTTTTTCTCTCATACACGATCCAAGAGCTGCCTCATCTGCTTCGGATCCATACAACAACACAGGTAGTATCAGCGTCTTGTAGAGTGGGAGTTTGGACTGGCGAGATGTGACCATGTTCCAGATTTCGAATTGCTTACTATGACCTTAGTAGCATCTCTTAGCCAACACTATTCTTCTCCAGATTTCGAAGCTGATGTTATTAGTTTTTTTATGACGGTACCAAGGTATATAAAATCATCGACTACCTCGAAGATGTAGTTTACAATTTCCACGGTTGGCTGGACGTCTTACGCGGTGATACCATCAGTTTGGTATTTTCGCCATTTACTGCCAGACAGAAGTTCTTTCCGACTTTAACTGCTGACCTTGTGCCAGATAAAGTTATCCTAGCCGAGCCGTATTAATTTTGCAGGAATGCCAAACTCAGGCTTTAAATACCTCTGAACGGATAAGGCTGTCGAATGCGGCTTTATAGTCGACGAATAGGTGGAATGTGTTTTCCGTGATCTGGCGCAGAGTGAAAAATCTGGTCAATGGTGGATTTGACAGGCCTGAAGCCGCATTGTTATGGTCCAATAATGTCATTGACCATTGCTTGCAGTCATTCACACAGCACGCTGGATACCACCTTATATACAATGGGAAGAGACTTATTGAACGGGACACAGGATGTAGTACATCATCAGCTGGTGCATGCTCCTGGCCAGCGTCTGACCACCGGCATTTGAATAGTTCGGCTGGTAATCCATCGGCTCCTGCTACTTTTAATCTGTTTTTATGCGTTGCTGGTTCGTTAGGTTCCACAGCTCTATGTTACTTATAGTGGTGTGCCAGAATATTCTGCAAATTATCGAAGTTTGCTAATTCAATCAAAATATCGACAATCGGTTGGTACACTATATATCCCGTTTCAATATTTGCAGACTAAACAAATACCACTTTTGACCTGAACACTTCAGAACATTTTTCTTACCAAAAAATCTTACAAACTATTGCCACACACCACCACCCACCAACAAAATACCATTTGAGAATGACACAAAAAAAAAAGAACGAAAAAAATGTCAACCAAAAAAATAGCCAAACATACAAACCGATTTTGTTTTAGCACAACCCTGAGCAGTTTCTTCGTACACCACCAATGACATAAATTAGACCATTACACACCGCAACTGCATGACGATGATGACGTGGTACAAAGCGTATATAGGACAACTGACGCCATTCCAATGCATCGGCTGTAAGACCGCCACCAGCATCACAACAAAGTACTTGGTCGCCAAAAATGTCAAATTTATTGTTGACAGGAACGCTGGTAAGTTGTTGGCTCTGGTCACCATTACATCTGCTGCCGTTGATCTTCTTCTCATTGTCATGCCTAGGATGGGCATCGGCTGTGAGACCCATATCGGTTGCGTTGACAGTTGCTGATTTAGTTCCCGATTCTTTTTGCCGTTTTGTGTGACTTGGCTGCAATGTCTGAATGGTGGCATCCACCAACGGCACGACACATTTGTGTAGTTTTCCAAGCAAAGTGTATTCAAGCCCCACCACCACCATAGGGGACAATACCGTCAAATATGAAAATTTTGCGATTTGTAATGCTGTCAACAAATGTAAAATGAATCAACAATAAATCAGTAGATGGCAGTAACACGATTGATAGATACAATAAATATGTAATTTACATACAAATAATGAAATTGGCAAAGAAAGTATTCCGGTAATAAAATAAAAAATGCAGAAAATTCAGAAAAGTATTTTTTCATAGAAAATAATCTCGGATAAAATTTGTCCATAGAAAAAGCCCCAATGAACTTTTTTCCATAAATATGGTATCAAAGGCTACCAACACCTGCCTATAACACGGTCTTGTGTGTCATAATCCGATGTGTATTGAATTGGCGCCCAACATCACTATGGAGATATCATCTCGGTCGAATGATTTTTGATACAACACAAAAATCTTCGCTCCATTGTGTAAATTTTATGTTACATTATCAATAAAGATTTTTTTTCTATTGACAAAAGTTCAGCCCCTTTTTCCATGGAAAAAAGATTATCCCCGATGATTTTTTCTTCATAGAAAACAGCTCCTTCCCAATGAAGATTTTTAAAATTTAATTGTGTGTATATTAATCACTTGCCATTTCAATTGCTCACCATGTCTATTGTCATTGTGGACATGATTGCCATTGTCATCGTGACGCTCACCATATTTTATGTCATTTTTTAACTGGCCCATATTCGCTTGCAACTGTCCATCCACCATGGCCGCATCACTTATGTCGGTCATCGTTACATGTCTATAAATCACAGAAGAAGCATTGCCATTTGTTTCCGTTTCTCTTTGTCGCCGTTGTTGTTCTACGGCATGTTGGTGGCTGTAGTTGTTGTTGTTGATGGTGTTTGGGTCGTCCGAGCCAGTACAACGGATGCATCGCCCTCAGCAGGAGATAGCCGTCGATGTAGTGTTTCTGGACAATTGGTCATCTGGTCATTTGTATATGTGGTAGGATGATGCTGATGATTGTTACTGTCACATAAAATATTTTCCAGCTGTTGCATCTGGTTTTATTGCAAGGTGGGCGGTGTGTTCTTCGTAGCACTCACAGGTGGGTAATTTAAAATAATGGCTGTTTGAATTTCCGTTTCCGTTGCGTTATTATTTTTTTATACATGACTTGGCCTCTATTGAAGGTGACTATCTAGGCTGGAGTCGTTTAGTGACGTGTCATAGGAGGTGATTTGATTTGCAATGTTATTATTATGTGAAACAAGAATCAAAGAGTGCCCAGAAAGAATTGAGTCGCAACTACTGTGATTACCTAAGTGCTGACCGACCTAACGTTTATAAGACAGCAATAATATTTCATGGTTTAAGTCCGGTCGACTTGAATATGGTATCAAAGGCAAGCTATACCGGCAATAGTTCGACCGAGGTGTATGATAATGGCGCCCAACATCAATGTGGAGATATCAACGCGGTCCGATTATTTCCTATATAACGAAGCAATCTTCGCTCCGCCATGTCAATTTAATGTTACTTGATCAATATAGATGCGAACAGGGTATAATAAATACCCTCCACTCTGTGGAGTGGACGACCTCCCCTTACGTAGGGATCGCGTACACACCATGATTCGTATCATGATGGGATTTGAGAGTGGAATATAAAACCAGCTACAGAAACTACTTCAACAGCCAGTTTGTTATTAAGTTTTACTACTCATTTAAAAATTAGATTTTATTTGTTCTACGCTCAAGCAAAAATCTACATTAGAGTTAACTCTGTATAAAGTCAATACACATGTTACTAAGTGGATCTCCCATGGAGTAATTCTTGCGGTGGAAGTCTACATATAAGAGTTGATAGTGTCTACTAGATCGGACAGGAACATTTATTCTAATAGAAGAAATTAGGAAATCCGAGGGAAATTGAAAGGTGATATATTGTATATTAATATTTCTATATTTAGCAAAAAACTGCTGTGCATTATTAAAACTCTTATATTTGTAGGAAAAACGTAACTCCAATTTCATTTGAATTTAGCAAATAGCATAATTTATTGATATTAATTTCAAGAAATTCATTTGACTCAACAATAGTAACATTTCATCGTGAACAAAAAACGAACATCAAGAAATACTAAACAATAATTAACAAAGTATTTAATTTGTAGAAAAATTGCAGCCTTATATAGTTCAAAAATTCCTTCAAATTGCACCTTTGCCTCATCAGCCAACATCCATTCATATATCCTTTTAAACGATTTTTTTCTTCGGGTAATTGAACGACAAAAATAAATCAAAAAGTCAATTATTCTCCACAATTCTAGTATGTTCCTCAATTGCTACTTTTTGCAAATTCCATTCTTAATAAAATATTTAAACATTAAAAAAATATACAATAAATACATATTTTTGTCAAATATTTTGATAGCAAACACAAAAACAAGTAAAAATACTTAATGCCCGTAAATCCAAAAATTATACGTTGATTTTAGACTATAGCTCTTATCGTGATAATGGTTAATTATCTCGATTAAATTATTAAATCGAACTTTAAAATTCTAAATATTTAAAATTCTAATAAAACATTCATTTTAAAAATAATAATAATTTAATTTTAATAATAATTGTTCGTTTTCCTTTACATTTGACGGAACAAACCACTATAAACAGTGTTGCTTTAAGTAACGCATTGAAACTCGACTTACGTATCCCTACTTTGCAGGGAGAACCAAACGAAGTTATTGCCGTTATACATCACACTCTTTCGTAAACATTATCTTTACTATTTACCCATATTCGTAGCATGTGGAACGTTTTTAAATTTGTTCGGTTCAATTGGTTAAAGGCTCGTTCAAGAAGTTTGATTCAGAGCACGAAGCCGATCGGCTCGCAGTCGGCGTGCAGCCGCCGCCGACTTTTTTTAAGTGATCTGAGCCGCCGCTGATGTATGCGGCTCTCATCGGCTCAAATTTTTAGCCGACTGAGTCGGCTAAGCCGTTGAAAAATATAAATTTATACAGCAAATTTGTATAAATATGTCTTTTAATCTTATCGATAAATTAACATATTATAATGCTCATTATTGGACGATAATTTACATTGTGCACTCGTCTTCGAGAGGCAAAAACGTGTAGGCTATTTATATTAATTATACCCTACAGCACATAGTGGTAAGGGTATTATGTCTTTATAGATTTGTTTTTTTTTTTATCACAAAACCTTTGGCAACCTTTTGTAACTTACGAATTTTGATGGAGTGGCAACCATATTGTTTGCCAAAGATTCGTTGTGTTTTTGCTTGTTCAAAGAAAAGAATGCAAAATGTGCCAAAGGAATATTAAAAATTATTTTTCCGCTAACCGAAAGGGTCAAACAGTTTTGACTAAATCAGAATCCGATTCTGACGAATCTGTTGATACTGAAATCAATATTTCTCAATATGCAGATGTATCTCAATATGAAGATCTTTTTAAAAAGAAAAATGAATTTAAAAATTTGGCAAAGGTTGTTGTAAATGAAGGTGGTATATCATTGTGTTGGAAATATTTTGGTGATCTCTATTTTAAAAAGAGGCATATACTTCAAAAATATAAATTTTGCAAATTGTGTTTGGATGAAAAGACCAATTTAAAAAGGTAAGAATTTCTAATTTTTTCCATTCGCATGTGTGTAATTGTTTATGATTTTAGTTTTGGAAAATCAACATCAACCACAAATTATATGAACCATCTACGAGCTGTACATAACTTGGACGTGAAATCTTTAAATAACCTGAAAAGTTCAACAATGACACAAAATGCATTGAAATCCTCAACAAGTTGTAACAACAAACAACAAAATGCTCGCCGGGTCGCCGAAATGTGCTGTTGGGATTTGCAACCGTTTAAAATTGTTGAAAGGCCAGGATTTAAGAAATTGGTATCTTTCTTAAACCCAAAGGCTATATTCCCCACAGATAGGACAATAGCTACAACGGCTTTAAACGATGTTTATAACATATATTTGGACCACGTAAAAACAAGCCTTAAAGAGTCGCCCGAAAATGTTACACTTGTATTGGATATGTGGTCAGATAAACATAAGCACTTGTCTTACATAAACATAAAAGTGCATTTCTGCCAAAATTTTCAAATGCAAATTGTAACGCTCAAGACAGAGATCTTTCCACGACCTCACACTGGACTAGCAGTTGTAGAAAAAATTGAAGAAGCTTTATGTGAATTTAATCTGTTGGAAAAAAACATATGTGCTGTTACTGATGGTGGAAGCAACATCGTTTCAGCTTTAAAAATTAAAAATATACCAAGATATGGTTGTATGGCTCATGTTTTACACAGATTTTTGATGGAAGATATACTAAACAACAACTCATTTGAAAATATTAATAACATAATATCAAAATTAAAAAAAATTTATGGCAGCTTAATGTATAGCTATGAAGAAATATCAAATATTCAAAATATGGAGGAACAAAACGATTTAGTAAAAATATTTACAGAGGTTGAAATAATTTTGGAGAGTTTGGATAGTTGCGAACAATTTCCACATGGAGATGACTATTTTACTGAACAATATGAAGCAACTTTAAACGTCAAGCACCACACCTCTTTGAAAAATTCCGTTGCAACACGTTGGAACTCTCTGCTTGCAATGATTCAAAGCTATACGAATAATATATCCACTATAAATATAGCATTAGTTAAAGTTAAAAGGAACTGTTAGTGATTGGGACAATGGAAATGCAAATTATAACGGAATTTGGCACGTTTTTAAAAATTTTTGAGGACGCCACAAAACACCTTCAAGGCCAAGATTATCCGACGATATCTTCGTGTATTTATTTTCAGGAATCCATTATGTCCTCATTGAAGAAAGAAGAAGAAAAAGCGTCTTTTGAACTAACAATCAATTTATGCAATTTCGCTGTGCAAAACTTTACGAAGCGATTCAAAGTATATAGAATGTATGTTGTAGCTGCGCTTATGGACCCATGCCAAAAAAACTGGCCTGTTTTAGATAAATATATACTACAGATACCCAAACAATCGCCAAACTCCTTGGAACTTGTGCATGATGTTCTGTCTCCAATTTCCAAGGAGAACTTGATTATGGAAGAAATTGAAAAATTAAAGGAAATCGATGACACATTATTAAATGAGCCATCAACGAGCACTGAACCAAATGCAAAAAAACAGGTATTATGTTTTAATAAATGTAAAGGTAAACTTAACTAACGTATATTTTACTTGCAGAAAATATCAGCTAGTCGTCAAAGAATGTTGGAATTTATGGGACCATCGCCTTCTAATGTACAAAATAACGTAGAGTTAGAAATAAGAAAATATTTGGAAATGAAAGTCGAGGCGGTTGAGCCTCTAGATTGGTGGCGACAGAACAAACAAGTACGTTAAAGATTCACATCTTAAACTTATTTTAAGCAGGATACGTTTTGACCATTTACTTTTTATAGATCTTTCCAAATGTTGTTGCTGTAGCAAATATGTGCTTTGGAATTCCAGCCACATCAGCATCTTCAGAGCAAGCATTTTCATATGCCGGGAATTGTGTAAATGCAAAGAGAAGCAGCCTGCATCCGGCAACAGTAAAGAAACAATTGTTTGTTCACGATAACAAGGCAGTCGTCGAACCATTTTTATCAAATTAAAGTATTTTTATTAATTTTTAATGTGCTATAAGCAACAAATGTGCATATAAACTTATATTTTCATTTTTATTTTAAATTAAATGAATTGACAGTTATTAAAACAACCGAAATTATTTGTTCACGTTAAAGTCGTCGTCTGTAGCCGACTTTTAGCCGCCGCCGGCCGTATATTGCTTTAGCCGCCGCCGCCGATTTTCTTTCGGCTGCAGTCGACTTTTAGCCGCCGCCGACTTTTTTATGCTTAGCCGCCGCCGCCGAGAATTTTACATCGGCTTCGCCCTCTGGTTTGATTTATTCAATTTAACGCACAAATTGGATTGAAAATTTATTGGTTTATTTATTTAATAGTTACAAAAAATGTTACGTTTCCTAAAACCCATATTAAAATTACAATTTTTAGTTATAATATTGGCCGTTGTCGTTGGAATATACTATCCACTAATTATTGAACATTTACAAACAACCTTTTTGGGCAAAAGTGTTGACGTGAGCTTTGAAAGTGCCAAACAAGAACAACAACAACACAAAGAAAAGTTGTTTACCAAAGAAGAACTGGCCCAGTTCAATGGAGAAAATGATAAACCCTTATATTTGGCCTTATTGGGAAGAGTTTACAATGTTACACGCGGAGCTAAACATTACGGTTCCGGATGTGAATATAATTTCTTCGTAGGCCGAGATGCATCGGTGTCGTTTATAACCGGAGAATTCGATAACTTTGTCGAGGAGGAAGCTGATGATGTGCTTAGCTTGAAACCGGCCGATCTTCTTGGCTTGCACAACTGGCAAAAATTCTATGAAAAAGATTACGAATATAAGGGAAAACTTATTGGCAGATTCTACGATGAACAGGGACAGCTAACCAAATATCACCACAAATACCTGGCCATATTGGAGCAGGCTCAAGATGAGAAAGCTGCCAATCAGAAATTACGAGAAAAATATCCGGATTGTAATATAGAATGGTCGGCAGACAAAGGCAGTCATGTTTGGTGTACAAAAAGCAGTGGTGGCAAGAATCGTAATTGGGTTGGTTATCCACGTAAACTGTTTGAAATTGGTAATACGAATTTCCGGTGTGCCTGTCTAAGAAAAGAAGATTTCGATACGACTGAAGTTATGATAGCTGAATATGACAATTGTGAACCTTTGTCACACGAATGTTATTATCAAGTAGATTAATTAGAGAATATAGTTCTTAAGATCTTGCCTTAAATATTTTTGTAACTTATGACACTGTCTCAAGTATTTATAATTGTAAGCATTTTTACACAAAAAAAAAATTATTGAAAATAGTCTTAATGATTTTAATATACAAGTAGTTGTTAATAAATTAGAAAATATATAGAAGAGTTACTTAAATTCCAAAAGAAAGTATATACAACTTATGTAAACATTCCATTACAGAAAGCATTTTTGATTAAAATGTATCAAATGTTATAAAAGAATTATTAAAACCTTAGCGCCTTGATATTATAAATATACATTTAAAAGAATTTGTAAATAAGATGAAAATTAATCGCGAATATACAAATTTTATATAACTTTGATTTCTAATAAATTTAATTTGGAAAGGGAGTAAAATTGGTTCCGCATTTTCGTATCATTTACAATGGGCTTGTTAAAACATTTTAACAATATTTTGTTATAATTTAGGTAACATAAAATTATGTGATAATTTTGTATGTGGTGAAATGGACAACTGTTACTTGTTTTTATTTGCAAAGGAAATCTTTCAAATCGTATAATTGAATTATTCTACATACGTGGTTATAAATTGACAATAATATTAATTAACGGTTTAAAAGATTTACCAATATAGGAGGAGAAAATATAAAGGTCGACACCTGTATTGAACCAGAAAATTATGTAGTGACTTAATCTGTACACTAAAAATTTAAGCTTAGTTTCATCTAATCGGACTTTCCATTCCAATAGCTTTATATCAGATTTACAAATTTTTAAAATGTTCACACCACCAGAAGGAGTAGAACGATTGGCCCCATCTTCGGACTTGATATATACCCGAGTACAATATTACGATGTATCATATTTGGATAACATTGGATATTCCGTTTCCTTCATACAATATTTACAAAGTTTGAAAATGTTTAGCCCAATTTCAAACATTAAATCGTAGCAAAGTGTACATTAAGAATATGCCGAACTTAGATCTGCTCCAATCAGATCCCAAAATGTACAAATTATATAATTAGAGTAAGTAATAAAGGTTAAAGGAAAAAGTGGTAACTGAGAAAATATTCGGGGAATATTTCGTGACGTTTGGTACACAAATGTCTTCGTTCTGTATTGGGAATCAGATAAGAGCTTGAATTTCTTATTTACCACAGTGTGAATGAATTTTTTCTTCTTCATGACATTCAAAATATATTTTTTTTCTTAACGTACAACGGTCTGCTTATTCAGAAACATATGTGCGTTTGTAAAAGTTCGTTTTGTATATCATTTCAACATATGGTGAGCACAAGGCCAGTACAACACTATCGAAGTAAAGTAAATAAACAAGAGTTTGAATGCATTCTTGTTTACGACTATCTTGTCACTGCTCTGTTTATTAAACATCTCAATTTAAATTTTATTTCCAAATTGCTTTTTCATGGAGTACCATATTGTGTCATATATGGATACCCAAGAATGTCTACATCGAATCTTATACCAACCAGCAAAATATTTAAAAGGATTGTTTTAATTTATTAGGGTTTTCTTTATTATTTCTTAAATTTATATACATGACTTTTTTACTTAATTTTGTTTTTTTGGAGAATGATTTTGTTGTTATTTTGTTTGTCTCTTAATTATATAATAACTACTTAATATTTAGAATTTAATCTCCCTGAAATAATTAATGAAAAATAATACAGATATTTTTGTTGTTATTTTTTTTAATAAATTTATATATGTTTTGTATATATAGGTTCATAATTTTGTTGTGATTGTTAATTTATATATGAGAGAGAATTACAATTACATAATTATTTATTTATATATATTTTTTATAGCTGATCGTTACGGAATTACGACGTTAACAATACTTTTACACAAAAGAAAACTATTAGATTCATAAATGTATGGTGTACAGGTGTGTATGTATGTGTGTGTCTCATTATATATTTAGTAAATTATTTTTGAGAATTCGTGGAGATTTCTATTCTACAAACAAAATTAAAAACAAACAAACAAAAATTATATATAGAGTTTAAATATTTAAATATGTATATATACGTACGTAATCAATCAATCGATTACCGACTATGGAGAGATATTGGCTGGCTCCGTATCGGTCTTTTGGTAAATAATGTTACATGCAAATGTGCTTGCCAATACTCTGCGCCCTACTGCCTTATGCGTGTTTTTGAGAATAAATATTTGTTACCTTCTTTCATATATAGTGCGTTTCAATTTGTTTTTGTGGTTTGTTGTACACTTTTGTCATTTTGGATTTTTTGGGGTTTTAAATTTATTTATACACGATTATCGAGGGTGCAATGACAATGTCATCGACACCATCGACGATCACAAATGGCAATGGCTTATTCGCCCCAATCATTGTTGGTGTGTGTGTGCTCGTCCGCCGCCTGGACATTGTCTTTGGGATCACAATCATCTATAAATTCGACATGTGTAAAGGGGAAGTGTCCCTTTTTGCCTTTCAGCTCTCCCTCCCATTGGCCGTTTATGTTAGTCTTTGTGACCTTAATTATATCGCCCACTTCCAATTTGAGAGCGGTCTTGTCATAGGCATTGGGTACACGCGCCTGCTTAACTCGGGCGTACGCTGGTAACTTGCGATTCAAGTCGGACTTTTTAAGCGTGTTGCTCAATTGATGGCATGCTGGCGGGGATGGTACTGGCTCACCTCCAGATGCTACCCGCTGTTGTCTCATAATATTGTTGACACTGGCACCACAATTTCCCGAAGATGGTCGTTCCATAACATGATGATCGTCGTTGCTATCATCGTACTTTTGTACATAGGGCACCGGAATTTGTCCAATCTGGCCAAGTGAATTTTTGGCTGTCCACCATTGGTCCTCGTCTTTTCTAACAATCGTCAAAATCTCACCACGTCTAAACGGTAAATCATCCTGGTCACTGCCGTCAAAATCAAATTTGCCAATAACACGTTCCACTTTCTTGGCAGCTGGTCTCCGCAGTGGTGTAGTGTCCAAATAGTGCAATGTATAGAATGTTAGGAGATCGGGCAAGGTGTCAAACGATTGATCGCCTATACGATAGACGGTCATCTCATGGTCGTGTATTTTATTGATTATGTAGTTGCTAACTTTGGTGTCCTCCCGCACGCACAGTACATAGTCGCCAGCTATGGACTTGCTGTCACGCACCAGGAACACGCCTCGTTCCCGTTCATTCATTAGTAATTCGGTGGCGTCCTGACGTGACATTGGTCCGAAGTACCAGCTGTTTTCGTCATTGACGTCGAAGGTGTCCATTTTTGGTAAGGTGGTTACGGTATTTTTCTTGTAGATATGGGTGTTTTCCTCGCGCTTTACAAAACTTTCATAAACTTCTGCAAGAAATGCCGAATTGCATTAAAGTTTTCACAAATGTCTGGATGTAATTATCGAAAAAGACTCACCCTAATTTCAATTGCTGAGTATATTTTCCTACTTCCATTGATTTCCCCCTCCTCGGCGGTGGCAATTTTTACAGCAACATTAGTACAGCATTTATTTCAATTTCTCCAAATTGTTGTTCAATTTTTCGCTCCAATGGGTGTTAGGAATATTGTTATCAGATTACCTTGGAAATTACTTGAATTTTTCGAAACAATTTTCTGCAAAATATTTTCATTCATATGTCCTGACTACTGAGTATCTATTCGATGTATAAACTAATAATTAGTAGCGAGTAATCGGTATTATAATAGGGTTTCCAATTTCCATTTTAATAAATATGAATACCAAATATATGTTTAGAAAGGCGTGTACATCTAGAGTTGTGTTTTAGGATACAATTCAAAAATTTTGCTTTCAGAATTTTGAAATGTTGTGGGATATAGCTCCAGACTGATTTCAGAAAGTGATATGTCAATTCTAACAGAATACGCTATTATAGAAAAAGTTTGCGTATATAATTCATACAAAACAATTTTTTATATCCTCCGCAATAAGATGGATATTTCATTAAAAACTAATATATTCGGCTCTTGCCAAACAGTTGACATTTCGATCTTGGGATTATGTCAAATTTGTTAAAAATCAATTTGGTGAATATCACAAAGTCGCTTTAAATATATTTTGGACTATTAAGACTAAAACAAAATTTTATATTTTTATGAATGAACCGGTATAAAATGATTTTCATTTCAATTATATTTGATTTTTTTAAATTTAATTTGAATTTATTTGACATAGCATTCAAAACAACACATAAACAAAATATGTATTTTGATTTGATAGAACAAGCCATCTTGAGGAAAAATTGTAATCAGATGGTAGCAGTCAATTCCTTTGAAAACCATGTCTGAAATATTCAAAATACCGAAAATCGGCAGTTCTGTTATATAGGATCTACACGAAATCGTGAACCAATATAGATATTAGATAAGACCGAAAAATGCATCACCATTGAACTACTGCAATGAATTCCCATTTCCTTAACGTCTCATCTGTCAATGTCTCCTTGTAAACAATATCCTTTCCTTGATCATGTGTACCTCACATCTCATTCGTAAACAATGTTCTTTTTTGCCATTTCTGCTTTGATTTCTGTTTTTACTACGCTCTGGATCGTTTGGAACGTTTTTAATTTCGCTCGGTTCGGTCATTATCTCCCAACTTCCACTTTCTTTTTTTGTTTTTGAATGTGCAAGAAAACAGTGCCTTAAATTAAAATTATTTATTTATTTAAATAAATTATTACATATCAAATTAAATGTTGTTAAAAATATAAAGCGTAACTATTGATCTACAAATTCAAGTGCAATTATTTTCAAAATATACATAAGATCGCCAAAAATTCCTATTAAATATGGTCACAATATACTCGACAATTTTTATTGTAAGAAAATATCCAAAAACAACAACAACACACATAGAGTAAAAACAAAACAACAATTATTTTGGTATACTGACATCTGTGTTAAGCCGATGATCAGTTGTTGATGGGCATGTTGGTATGGACAAGCAGGAAATCGTAACCATATTTTATTGATAAAGCAATAGATAAACGAACGACGGCGGAGTAGAACGAACGTCTGTTGAACAGTTAGAAGCGATTTGGAGTGCTAAAGTAGTGGAGTGATAATGATTAACTGTTTCGGTTCGCTGAGTGTCCCCACTCTGGGGGAAATGGAACAAATTATTTGCATGCTGGAGAGGGGTACAATTGTTACCAAACTATACAGCAAGCAGCGAAAACCCGAACAGCGTAGATTGATGTTGATAAGAGAAACACGGCAACTTCTCTGGTCGCAAGTAACGGCTAACACCCGCATCGATTATGAAGGCTCATTGGAGTTGCGGGAAATCAAGGAGATTCGGGTGGGTAAGAATTCGAAAGAGTTTCGTAACTGCCCGGATGAGGCCAAACGCTTTGAGGCCGGTAAATGTTTTGTCGTTCTGCATGGCAGCTCATTCAAACTTAAAACATTCTCGGTCGTTGCCCTTTCGGAACACGAAGCTGAAAATTGGGTGAAGGGACTGCGGTATATGGTGCAGGACACTATAAATGCTTCGTATCCATTGCAAGTAGAACGTTGGCTACGGCGCGAATATTACGCCATAGAGAATTCGAGCACACAGTCGTCATCGAAAGATGGTGGCCAAGTGACCGTTAAAGACTTTAAGGCATTCCTCGGCAGTATTAGTTGCAAAATGACCACATCGAAGTTAATGGACTGTTTTACGGAGGAGGATGTTCGGCGGAAAAACGATCTGCGATTCGATGATTTCGCACGCCTCTATCGGAAGCTGTTACAGCCCGCCGGATTTCTTGAAGATGTCTTTCATAGTTTGCCTGGCGGAGAATTTGCCTTCTCTAAGGATAGACAAAACGTGACTTTGAGAGAATTCGAACATTTCCTGTTGACGGAGCAGCGGGAAGCGATAGGCAGGGATAGTGTGGCAGTTTCCAATTTTATACGTGAATTCTTGCAAGACATAGAACGAGAAGTTCACGACCCTTACTTTACAATTAGTGAATTTGTCGACTATCTCTTTTCGAAGCACAATGATTTGTGGGATAACGACTGTGATCGTGTCTATATGGACATGAAGCAGCCATTATCAAATTACTGGATTGCCTCGTCGCACAACACTTATCTTACGGGTGATCAGTTTTCTTCGGAGTCGTCATGTGAAGCCTACGCTAGGGCTTTACGAATGGGCTGTCGTTGCATTGAGTTGGATTGCTGGAATGGTCCGGACAATTTGCCGCATATTTTCCATGGCCACACCATGACATCCAAGATTAAATTTAAAGATGTCATCAAAACCATAAAGGAACATGCCTTTGTCACATCCGAGTTTCCAGTAATCCTGTCAATTGAACAGAATTGTTCGTTGGAGCAACAACGTAATATGGCACATGCACTATGCGAAGTGTTTGGTGATATGTTATTGACACAACGCATCGATCGCTCGGAAACCCAATTGCCATCGCCATACCAGCTCAGGAGAAAAATCATTTTGAAACATAAAAAATTACCCGAATTCGAAGACACTTCGGCAACATCTTTGACTTCGAATAGTTCATCGAATTCATCAAATATGTTGACATCTTCGGGAAGTAGAGGTTCAATTTCTGGCCCGGATGATCAGGGTGATGGTGTAAGAAATGTCCTAAAAGAAGGTCTTTTGTACTTTAAAGATCCGGTTGATAAAATTTGGAATCATTATCACTTCGTTTTGACTCAGCAAGAGCTAATATATTCGTCGCAAACGGAAGATACTAATTCGGCGGGAGGTGATGATGATGACAATGTTGTTGCTGTGTCTTCCACAAACACATTAATGCCAAAGGCCAAAGATAATTTAATGAATGATGAGTTGCATTTCGGTGAAAATTGGTTTCACGGCAAACTTGAGGGTAAGTGGGGAATTTTTTTACAAATGATTATATTAATTACACGATTTGCTTTTCATAGGTGGACGCAGTGAAGCAGATCAACTGTTGGAAGCCTATAAGCATCTGGGCGATGGTACTTTCTTGGTTCGCGAATCGGCAACATTTGTCGGTGACTACAGTCTATCGTTTTGGAGGCGTGGTCCAAACCATTGTCGCATTAAACTTAAACACGAAAATGGCACTACTAAATATTATCTAGTAGATAACTTTGTCTTCGATTCGTTGTACTCTCTGATCGTATACTATCGCAAGAATATGTTGCGCAGTGCAGAATTTTCCATAACCCTTAAAGAGCCGGTGCCGCAACCTAAGAAACACGAATCGCAAGAATGGTTCCATCCGCACACCACCAAGGAACAGGCGGAGCAGGTTTTAATAAAACTAGAAGTGGGTTCATTTTTAGTGAGGCCTTCGGTACAAAGTGCCAACGCTTTTGTAATATCATTCACCATTAATCGAAAAATAAAGCATTGTCGGATAATGCAAGAAGGCCGTTTGTTTGTGGTGGACACCAATCAATTTGAATCGTTGGTATCATTGGTGAAACACTACATGCGCAATCCATTGTATCGTAATGTAAAGCTAGTCTATCCCGTATCACAAGAGCTCCTGAAGCAAAAGCTTTTGGCCTGTCAAGCCTCCTTGGATCATCATGGCAATGGCGACTTTCATGATGCCTCAAGTTACATGGATGCTTCTAGTCTTGAAGACACCGTCACCTGCAAAGCTCTATATAGCTATAAGGCCGACAAAGCAGATGAATTATCATTTCCTAAACACGCCATCATTACAAACGTCCAACGCAATAGCTCAATGTGGTGGAAGGGCGATTATGGTGGCCTAAAGCAACGTCATTTCCCGGCAAACTACGTCAAGGTTATTGATTCGAGCTCTGACGATTACAATACATTCAATGATGAACTGAACAATGAACAGTTTTCACGCACCGATTCCATTGAAATTCACGGCGCCGTGGCTTCGTTGTTCGAATCAAATGAACCTGGCATTCTGCTGAAGCTTCAAATACAAACACCAACAATGCAAAACTCATTTGTGATTGGCTTTGATAATCAGGAACAGGCTTACGACTGGTTCAAAGCCATTCAGGAGGCAGCTCTTATTGCCAATCAGTTGGCATCGGAGAGAAGAAAAAAGGAACGCTCGGCTCGTGTGGCCAAGGAAATGTCCGACTTGATTATTTACTTTCGCAGTGTACCGTTCCGTGAACATTCATGGGTATTCTATGAAATGTCCAGTTTTCCCGAAACAAAGGCGGAAAAACAATTTGTACAACAAAATACATTGCTCTTCGTGGCCTATCATCGCCATCAGATTAGTCGGGTCTATCCGAAGGGTCAACGTTTAGACTCGTCCAATTTTAATCCGGTGCCTTTCTGGAATGTTGGCTCCCAAATGATTGCACTAAACTATCAGACTGGAGACAAGGCAATGCAATTGAATCAGGCTAAATTTCGCGACAATGGCATGTGTGGATATCTATTGAAACCAAAGTTTATGCAGTTGGAAGGATTCGATCCAAATAATCCGTTGACCATTAGTCCACTGGAAGAGAAACTAGTCACAATTCGTATTATTGCAGCCAGACATCTGTTTCGGGCGGGCAAGTGCAGCAATCCCTTGGTTGTTGTAGAAATTGCTGGAGCCAGCTACGATACGGGTGTTAAACATCGCACAAAGTTATGTGAAAATGGTTTCAATCCTGTTTGGAACGAGATGTGTGAATTTTCAGTTAAAAATCCACACTTTGCCTTGTTGCGTTTTGAGGTTCAGGATGAGGACATGTTTGCCGAGACACATTTCATTGCGCAGGCTTGTTACCCCCTTAATTGTATTAGAACTGGTTATCGAAGTGTTACTTTACGCAATAAATTCAGTGAAGAATTGGAATTGGCTTCGCTGCTAATACATGTCGATATAAAACAAGCAACGGCAACAGAAACGCATGCTGTCATTGGATTCTAAAACATCGACCACAATTTATCGATGAAAGTAAGCATTTACATTTACAAACGAACAATTTTATTTAGCACAAATATTTTCTATTAAATTTATGCATTGCCTGTGTCTAAAGTTTCGTCATTTGTTTTGTTTTTTTTTTTGCGCATCTTAATGAAATTAACTAGAAAGACTTATAATTTAATTTTTAATTTAAATTCCATGTACATGGGCTGAAATGTGAGTGTAAACTCTTTAATAATATTCTTTGTTTTTATTTTATTTTCGATTATTTGCAATTTTAGATAAATTTTATTTAATTTTTTTTTCATGAAAATGCTATCTCACTTTTTACATATCGTATGTATTAATATGACTTATATACATTCGCAATTAACACATATCAATTATATTTTTATTACAATAAAGTATATATACAATCTATTAACCATTTTTGAAATGTGATTATTCATTAAATTCATAAATGATAATAAAGAGTATTTTATAAAATTAAATGAATAATACAACTTAATAACAAACTGGCTGTTGAAGTAGATTTCTGTACCTGGTTTTCAATCCCTTCTCATATTCCATCATAATGCGGATTATAGTGTGTACGCGGTCCCTACGAAAGGGGAGGTCGCCCCCTCGGTCGACAGGGGTGGGAAAGTGAGGCGTGGGAACGTACGAAAAAAAAAATGAATTGTTATGCAGACAGGTGTTGGAAATCGAATTGATTTGTACTAAAGATATATAAATTTATTTTAATATCAAGTTGAGTTTGCTGATGCTTGTATTATGAAAATTGAAGTCGATTTGATTTTCGACAATTGTTTTACTGACTGTAATACTATTAGCAGAACGTTAACTTTCCCATTTCAAAGATTACCATTGCCAGGAATTGTGGTCTAAGAATTTTAAAAAAATCTCCACGCAAATTCTTATAAACAGCGACGTGGATGTATAACGAAATTGTGGTTATATTGACTACCGACTTTGGTTCCATTATGAATTTTTAAGCGTTAAATAAATTCAATTTGTTGGCTTTAATTTCCAATTTAAATTACTGATTTCCGTACTAAATTAAAAGCAAATATTGAGTTGAAGATTATACAAGCGTCACTTGTTCTTCTTCTAACTCCAATTTGAAAAAACCGAAACGGCTTGATCAAGATCTATATATTGGGCCATCTAGTAAGGTCAGCTGATATCTACATTTTTTGTTAAAATATATTGAATTGAAAAAATAAACATTGTTAGCGTTGACAAAGGCATCGACAAACTTTTCAATTTGTTTAAAAATTATCCTAAAATACAAAAAAGCCTTATCGAATGTGGTAACTATTCAATTATTTATTAAAATAAAATCAGTGCTGTGTTTAAATTTAGTTGTGTGCGTTAAAAAATTGCAAAATAAATCGAAATTTTTCAAAGATATTTGTGCTACAACAACAACTTTTGACAGAAAAATTAAATACGGGGTTGTGTATTTCCTGAAATTCGCCTTCTTTATGACTTCATATTTTTGGGGCATGGGTATGATCTATTTTATTTCTCAACATATGTTACAGAGTAATTTGTACAAGAAAAGCTATCGTACAAACCTGCAATAAAAAATATTTTCTTTTTTAAATAAAAAGAAATTGTCTTTCGAAAAATGTAATTTGTTACGAAATATCATATTCAATATTATTCGGCTGAAATACGTGCCCAAAATATACCAAAAAATATGGTGTAACGTTATATGGGGTCTACCCTAAAACACATGCCAATATTAGCTCTGTCTGTTTACAATTGTTGCCAAATGTTACTAAATGTTGTCTGTTTACCCAAAAATCCAGTAAAAGAGAGTCAAGTGAGAGAGCAAGTTTGACAGTTCAACAACAAAAAACTAACTGAAGTTTACTGAAAGAATTTTATGTAGTAATGCCATGTTCTGACGCGCATCCGAACAACGTAGTTCGCTCTCATAATTACGTACATGAATTAACCCGTTCATACAACACTATTCATAATTCATATCATCAGAGTTTTTTATTTCAAACTTTTTGTTTCTTGTTTTACACCAAAAATGTAACATATTTTAGTGAATTACATAGGGATCTAAATAGAAAAAATAATTCTCTTTCTCCTGACTATAGTATGAACCCATATCTATTTACTTTTCATTCATGTTTTCCATTTTTTCTGAAAATGTTGTTGTTTTTAATACATTTTTATATTTTCTCAATTCAAATGTCACATACTGTCACAAATAAAAATTTTGAGAATTGTTTGTTTGAGTTGCCCCACATTTGTTTCTTGTTTTGTACGCTAATCAGAACCAAGGGAAAAGAAATGCATATTGCATTATGTAGAAAACAAAATTTACATCCTGCTGCATATATAAAAACTATACAATTTTTTACTTTTCATTCATGATTTTCAATTTTACTGAAATAGTTTGAAAATTTCATTAATATTTTCAAACTGTCAAAATTAATTTATTTTCGATAAATACTCTCAATGGTTAGGGATGGGACAAATTTATTGGTTATTCAGAGAGTGATTCGAATTGAACAACGTACAAAAGTCGGTGTTCGCTCAGACAATTTTGTATGGGGATCTAATGGTGTTTCTACACGATATGTATTTTACATATGTGCTGTCACTTTTTTACATATGGAAATCGAACTCGTCATGTGAAACATACGGAAATTTCAATGTGTCAAAACGATATGCAATTACATATGTATTTTTTCCGAATAGGACGCGCTCTATTTTCGTATGTGAAACATAAGGAAATCAGCTGTTTGAATGAAACACATTGTTGGAAGAAAATATTTCAATTGCAATTCAATGAAAAGGATGAAAAGGCAACAATTACAAATTATTATTTCGTTTGTAGGTGTTTAATAAAAAAATGATGTTGATTTAAGAAAAAATAAAAGTGTTTTTTTGTTTATAGGTTATGTCATATGTGAAATACATATGCCGATTTGAACACAAAAATAAATGTTTTGTGTACACTGCTAATTTTGACACACATAAGGAATTACATATGGATGAAATAAGTGACAGCACATATGTAAATACTTATCGTGTAAAAACACCATAAGTAATTCCTTCATAATTAAGGGTCGAACAACGAATGAGAGAGCGAACAACGCTCGTCTGTACATGTCATAAGATTTTGCAAACTCGGAGATTTTTGGATCAGCTGTTTTATCACCGAACACAAAAATTATTCAAAACATTTTTTTTTTAATTTGTAAAGTTCAATTTGAAATTAAGTTGTATAAAAATTAATGAAAATGGAAGAAAATTCGTATGTAGTGCAAAGTTTCATTAAATTAGAAACTAATTATTTCCGTTCCCGGGGAACGTACCAAATCAATTTTCTTTTATGGTTTATTTTATTTTTAATATTAAATGCAATACAAATAATTTGTTTGTTGTTTATTTTGGCGCAAATAAAAAGTTTTTTTTGAATCAGCTGTTTATTTGCTAAATCTTACTAAATGTTGTCTGTTTACTTTTCTTAGTATTATCGCAAAAGAGAGTAAAAACGACATACTCTCTTAACTAGAACTTACTGAGTAAATGTTACTGGAATAGTAACTAGACACACCTATCACTGATAGGGAAGTTTTTAATAGAACCCAACACATTGTACAATTATTCAAGGTAGGCCATAGCAACTTATACAGTCTGTTCCCGTACTGCAAGAATCTACTACTTTTTACTACGATAACGAATTTTCCTTTATGATATCGAAGAAAATGGTAAAATCTAGTAGATTCTTGCTGTACGGGAACATATACATATACAATTACAGCCATTTGGGTTGAAAGCGTGTCCAAAAATACCGAAATTATTTAACAATATCGATAGTGGTTTAAAGTGGTCTCTATACAGACCAATTGGTCTTTATAACGACCAATTGATCTTTATTAATACCAATTGGACCTTTTAACGACCAATTGATCATATATTTATGGCGCATTTTATTTTATTATGTACTAACTAGTCTAAACGTAGTGTCACAATTTCATTCACACTAATCGATTTATATTTTGCACAGCAATCGATTTACGATTTCTTGAAATCAAAACTATAGAACCCTGCTGAAGAACGACGAACACAAGAAAGCAAAAATAAAAAAAATAGCGAACGAAAACAGTATTTAGCGAAACAGGAAGGCAGATGCAACGTAAGGTCGGTCGTGGTTAGAACAACAACCCAAAACAAAGCAAATTTATTTGCAGTGCCAAATTAAGATCCGTTGCTGAACACAATCGAGAGACATTGTTGTAAGGCAACAACCACCACAAACAAAGTCCCTTTGGCCAAACTAGTGAAAGTGAACAGCAACAAACCTAAAATCATTACTTCTAGAAACAACAGGCAATTACAGTAACAACAAATCAAAGTGATTCACTTGACTACTTACTGTCTCAAGAATATATTAAGAAAATAACTAGAAGAAGAAGAAAAAATACATAAAAAGACGAACAAAGTGTTAGTAAGTAAAATGATTGTGATCAGGTGTTGTTTATTAACGGTAGCCGTGTTCGCGGTTACATGCACAGCCGCAGCCACTACTACCGCAAGCAAGTCGTCGTCGCCGGATCTTGATCTAAGTAATCTTGGCAATATTAATATCAATGACTTGCAAAGCCAGCTACCGGGCGATTTGCCAAAGACTAACATTAAAATTGACGACGCCAAGGAATTGATCAAAGACAAATGCATTAAGCAGGCTGGCGAGGAAAACGGCACCAAGGCATTTAATGAAATCGAAACGGCAACAATGACCTTGGCCGAATGCGTAAACGGCATAGTCAATTATACAGCCATACAGGAAGAAATCACTGTTGCTTCGCCAAACGGCGATTTGGATGTGGTCTTTAACAAATACTGTTTGAAGCGTCCCGAGGCCATGGCTTGTGTCGAGGCCTTCAACTCGAAATTGACACCCTGTTTGGATGACGAAGAACGCGACAGCCAGGATGTTTTCATGCGCATCATTAGAAGTCTTTTGAATTTTGTCTGCCACAAGGGTGGCGATCAAATTGCCCTCTTCATTGCCGAGAAGGGACCTGAGTGTTTGGAAGCGAACAAGGAAGGTATACAGAACTGCATTAACAGCACCTTTTCCGGTTATTTGCCCGCCGAAGGTATTGACAATGTGAAGACTCTACCCAAGCTGGTCATGGGTGCCCAACAATGCGAGGATATCGAACAGCTGGAGACGTGTATCGTTAGAAAATTGGAGACCTGCAATGACACTACGCCAGCCAACATTGCCGAATCGATGTTCCGGTTCATCAAGAACGAAACAATTTGTCGTACAGCCAAAGCCCACAAGCAGACAGGCAATAGCAGCGGCGCTGTTCGCAATGCTGGTACTTTAAGTCTACAAGCAATTTTCCTACTATTGTTCGTACAGTTAGTAACGTACTTGAAAAGTAAGCAAATTGTCGTTTAAAATGTAGGTTTATTTGCCTTTTATGTTTTCTAGCGCTTACAAAAGTGTGTACTCATTTCAGTTTCTTTCGTAATATCAGGGTTAAATTCCGGTTAAAATGTAGTTAAAGAAGAAAAAATTAAAAAAAAAATAGAAAGAGCAATTATGAAAAAGGTATAGGTATAAGATATAAGAGAAAGGGAGGGTGATATGTATAGTAGAGGGGTGGTAAAATGAATATCTATGGTTCTTGGCATAATGTTACATTTCATAGATAAGTATTCTGATAGTACATACATAAATATTGAATTATTAGGGACATTTGAACAAAAAGAGCTTCAATTATTGACTTGACTTTAAGTGGAAATCTCTGACATACAACAATTGTATTATCACAAACCTTAGGATTTGCTAAAATAACCCATAAACATACGATTGAACAAAAGAATCTCAATTTCTCTCTTATCAAATAACAATTTTCAATGGACCATATAAAAACAAAATATAAATTAAATACAGACAGACAGAGCACACACACTCAGTTGAATGATGTATTCTGTTGTTGTTGTTCCATAATTTTAAATTTAATTAAAAACAAAACAAAAAAGCAAACAATTTAAATATAGACCTTGCACCTTGCCTATAAATTCACACTAGCCACAAATAATAAAAAAATAGCCCGTGTGTTGTGACGAGCCATAGTGTCGCCCCTCCTTCCCCTTTATTGGTCACATTTAAAGTAATAATAATTATTATAGTACATAGATGAATAAGTATCAAAGTTTACTTAATTTAAAACAACAACAAAGTAGCAGAGCATGATTCCAATTATGATGACGATGATGATCATGAAAAAATATTAAACCCATTTTTACAACTATAAATTATTGTAAACAAATATACATACTATTGCAAGAAAACTAGTTACTACTATTATATACTGAATTATTTTCATTAGTCTTCTTTACAAATCTCAAATAATAATTAAGGTAAGGTAAATAAAGATCGAATTGTGTTTTTGTATGAAATCGAAAAATATATAAATATATATTATGATGAAAAATCTCATTATCTGAGTAGAAATTAATGATTATTCGAAATTTTTATTGTATAATTAAATATAAATATGAAATACTGTATACACAAAAAAAAAAAAATGGTTGTTTACGTACAATTCCTCTCCATTCGAAATGACTAATGTAAAATCTGAGCTTTATCAGTAAATTGAAAATGTATGAAAAGATTTTTCATACTACTGTTTAAGAATGCATAATCACCACAATTTTTTTTCTTTGTGTTAATCATTTGTGTTTTGTATAATGTTTTTTTTTTCTTATTTTCCATTGGAATTACAATTGCTATTTTCCCTTCTCTATAATTTTTTTCTATATAAATTGGAAATGCAACTATGAATATTAAATAAAATATACGATTGAAATGATTAATTGAGTGTTATCATGTTTCCGCTTTTGGGTTGTTAAACAGATGGATGATTTGATAGGTTCTGGATTTGTTTTGAAATGAAATTCTTAAAATGAATTCTTATAATTATTCATATAATGTATGAATTTTCTTCTGAATTGTTTGAAAAGCAAATTACAAGTTTGCGATATTTTGAAAACTTGTTGCTATGTGCATTTTACAATGTAAGTATTAAAAAAAAAATTGACTCATTCACTACACGCATAGCACAAAAGGAATAATTTTAATTGGTTACAATGGATTTCCTCGATTTATGTATATATTTATTTGATTAATATCTGCATTACAATATGCGGATATTATGGTATAATTGATATGACTTATCTAGACACTACTCAAAAAAGTAAATAAATAAAAATTTTTGCTACCACATATCAAAAGTGAAGAGTTCTAATTTTTCTGCTCTTTTTATTATTATTAAATATCATGTTTCTCCGTAATTGATATTGTTTATCATAGTAGAGTAACTTCGGGTAATGTGGACCACCATTTTCTTTTTTTGATATTGTGGGCGTAACAACGGTAAAAAATAAAAACAAATTGTTTTCACAGGATGGTAGATGAGTTGGCTAATTATATTCCAGGTCAAAAATTATATTTATTTGTCCATAAAAATGTTATTGCATTATGTTTCAAAAAACTCTAAACTGCAAATAAAAATAACTTGGCGGGTAATGTGGACCAGTATGTGTGGGTAAGGAGGATCAGTAAGTTAAAGGTAGGTTGTGGATTAATTGTGATAAATTTCAATTTATTGCACTCTTGGGTAACAATGAATGCAAAAATATATCCATGTTTTGGAATAGCCCCCATTTATGGGTACCACCCCATTTGCGGTATTTTGAAGGTCCTTGCTTCATTATCCAACCGAGGCACCTATAATTTCGGGTATCGAGTTTTCAGAGGATAGAATACCTCATCGCATATTAAATGCGCCCTTGTTTCGAACTCGTCCTCATGAAAATGTCCCACTTTTTTATAGTGGTCCACATTACCCGACATTGAATATTTTTATTTAAAAATAATTATCGGCTTCAAAAATGAAAAAAAAAAATAAAATAACCGAAAGTAATTACAGATAAACGTGTATTTTTGTTAAAGAAAACAAGAAAACCACATAACCTCTTTATATTCGAGAAAAACAAAATGTTGGACTATTTTACAAAATCGTTCGACTATTATGCTAAAAAATTTTCAAATCACACTTTTACAATCAGAGCTACATTTTCATCTACTAAATTTTCAACATTGCAATTATTTATTAAAAACCAAGTTTGATGTTTGTTTTCACTAATTAGGAAAACATTTATCAAGGCGGCATTGGCATATTTCAAGCATTTTCTTATATATGGGGGGTGGTCCACATTTGACGCATGGTCCACATTACCAGAAGTTACTCTATAGATTAAAAAAAAAAAACAATTTTGAATTGAAGCAAAAAATAATAATAATAACAATAAATAAAAACTGTTGCTACCACATTACAGAAGTAATGAGTTCTAATTTGTCTGCTCCTTATATTATTATGAAATATCTTATTTCTACATATTTTATTTTGTAATTCATTGTGTTGTTTTTTATAAACACAGTTTTAAATTGAAAGCAAAATAAAATTTGATACGTAATAATTCAAAGCGTAGCTGAGAAAATCCGTTTATTAATTCTCCAAATTTGTTTAATAAGGATGATTTTATATTACTTAGTTTTAGTACGATGCCGACATTGTATATTACGAAATTCACATCTTCCATTTTTTTTACTTTTTTTCAATATTTTCATAATAAGGTGATTAGGTTGTGCAAACTTTTCGATCAAATTGAATGCTGCGTTTGCATGATATTAAATATGTAGATTAAATTTTTCCAAAAAAAAGTCTTTATCTCTGAACTACTCAGAAATAGACAGCAAGAACATGGAGTTTGACTTCAGAATGGTCTATTAATAGGGACATCCAGCGAGACCAACTGAATATCAGCTGCTTCTCAAGTTTGCTTTCAAACCCCATTATTGTGAATTGACTTCCATTATGAAAACGTAAACATTACAGCTGGGTGACCTTATTAATAGATCTTGGACCTTAGTATCTTACATTAAGTTACGATTGGTACTTTTCTTATTTCTTTTTTTTATTTTCTAGTAACATATATTTTCTGCAATAATAGAGAAGTTTATTCTGTTTTGTTATTTTATATCTTGACCTTGTATAACATTTCTGAAACAAAAATAATAATGAATTATGATAACTGAATTTTTAGTAAGGTCACAAAATTATCAAATATGTCCAAAATAATCGTTTTCACTATTCAAACATTTAAAATGTTTATGGAATAAACATAATGTTAGTATGACTATAATATGTAATGGGTACAAAGTTCAAGGAATGCAGAGAGAAATATAAATTCCGATAAAATTTTAGACAAAACTAGATTTACACACACATACATATAAATATTGAAAAGCGATTACTATATATTTTTTTTATTTTTTCTGTTTTATTCTTTTAGAAAGAAATAAGATTACTTTAGCAGCTACTGTTACAGATCGATCTGAAGTGACAGTATTTGGTTGACTAGAACCTGAGTCATTCTGCTAACTGTTTCTTTTACATATATCTTGGGTATATGTTTTAAATAATTTCGCTAGATATGTGTATGAATTTATGTATGTATAATCAGACGTTCGCAACAAGATTTCTATTAAGCACATTTTGACACGATCTAAAATGTAGCTTAAACGGAATATGAATTTTTGACCTCAATTATATGTAGGATCAGAATAATATTCGTAGGAAGTAACTGTTTTGGTCCAAACTTGGTGGTTCTTAATATTCCTTTTGAATATGAGTCATGTTTGAAAATCGGGCTACTTTTTCTGTTGACTATCTATTTCGAAAAACTATTTTTTTTGATCGGTCAATTTATAACATTACGTCGACTATAAGTGTTACGACTGCAGTAGCCAACATTTTTAGTGTACTATCATGTAGAATATAATGCTGGTACAGTAATCTATCGATCCTTAGTTTACCTCATGAAAATTGGATAAAGGCAAAATAAACTGACTATCGAGCAACTCCGTTTGCTATCTCCCCACAAAGGGTCGTTCTACCCAAAAACTTTAGAATTTTTACAAAAGAATTATTTTCGCAAATCAATAAAACGTTTACCAAACTTAGATCATGTAGGTCCTTCTCTTTTGATAGCACATTTAAAATAATAGCTATTTTTACAAATGATACATACATGCACCTTTGAATCTGATTTCGTTACCTCTCTAATTGTTTCTATTAAAGTATAATTTCAAATCATTTGGTCACATATTCGTTTAATTGCTCCCTATCTATTGCTTTTCCATGATAGATAGATGTCAATACAAACGCTATCCAATACACATTTTTATAGTCATGATGTTGGAATTTAATCTCGAGGTTGTTTTACAGAGTAAATCTACGTACGTTTGTGTGCACGTATTTATATATCTTATTAACAAGTTGATGTTTTAATTACTGTGTAAATCTTAACCAGCCTTTTTATAATGAGATTTTAAACGTTATTATATTATACT